GAGGAAGATCTTCCGTCCAGTGGTTCACTGTTCAAGTGACCACAACAGCCGGTGCTGTGTTGATCCGAAGCCAGGAACTTCCTCCAGGTCTCCCATGCGGGTGCAGGGTCCTAAGGCTTTGGGCCGTCCTCGACTGCTTTCCCGGGCCACAAGCAGGGAGCTGGATGGGAAGCAGAGCTGCCAGGATTAGAACTGGTGCCCATATGGGATCCAGGCACATTCAAGATGAGGACTTTACCGTTAGGCCTCCACGTCGGGCTCCCCTTTCAAAATCTGTATTTATGGGTGGTTCCTAGTACAAGGAAAACATATGATGAATAAGGAATACTACACAAAACTCTCTAAAGTTTTTAATTCAATTGCCTGTCTCTGTGGTATATTATGCTTTTACATTTTCTTGAAAAATTTCATCTTTAGGGTCTTTCTTTATCTATGGACTGTATGACTTGCCAATTCTTGACAGCTACTAAATTTTGGCCCTTGCGAAAACCCCAGGGAGCATTGATTGCCACTCGAGTTAGACCAGTGTCAGAGTATGCATTACAGCTGGGTGTCAAGTCTTCTTACAAAGATATTCATTGGAAGCATGAAGATACTTCGAAGATTATATTTTCCTTCTTCTCCATGGGTTTCCTTAAATTCTTTATGCATATTAATTTTAGAAAAGGTCAAGGACTAATTTCAGGTTTTTAAAAACCTATGTTTTATCTAAATCACATAGATCTTACGTACTTCAAGCAAGAATTTTGAAAAGACCAGGCAAGCCTTCTGTTTCTGCTTTGGCTAATTCTGGGGCAAGGATCTCTCTCCAGGTTCATGCCCAGACTGGCCAAGTTTAAAGATCAAATGAGATGGCAGGGTTTTGAACCTGAAGGAGCATCACCTCCCACAGGACGGTTTAAGATGTCAGACCTACAAAAGCTCACAGAGCCAGGTAGTAATGCTGGGTTCATCACATGCCAGATGCTCACTGTCTCCTATCCTCTTACTCTTTACAATAATGCTTTCCCAAGCATAGGCCTCTGCAGTTGTGTATACTTTGCCCATATTCGTGCACTGACAGGACTCCAAACCCAATTGTCTATCTCCAAGACCGGTCCTATTCATGGGAGTGGGCCTTCCCATCTACCCATTACTGACTGGTTGATGTCTCTGAGTATTTTCATATGGAAGACACTTTAAATAAGTCTTACCATATTATTTTAGAATTCTTCCAGGTTTTCAGTAGCTTTAATTCATTTTCAAATATTTTTTACCCAGTGTTGAAATTTTTCATATTCTTACATATTCTTAATACCTCTTTTTTACATTGAAAATTATTGTATTTTGTTTTATGATATAGAGGATTGCCTGTGCCCTTCCCCAAGGTCCCCCCGCCCACTGGTTTCTCCTCTAGTCTTACAATGGCTGTCCTTCATGAACAGTCACAAGTCTGTCATGCTGTTGTTGAAGTGTTTCCTAACAATGTAGGCATGGACAATGTCAGAGAGTCCATTATATTACTGTGAGACTCCCACTGAAAGAATTGAATACATCCTATCTTTGCTCTGTATGCATAGAGACACGCAGAACTTTGTCTCCATATGAGATCTTAAATTTGATGAAGTCCAATTTAGATTTACTGTTTTTTTGGTGGACTGTGATTCTCGTGTTATACCTAAAAATTCCTAATTCATGGTCACAAATATTACCCTTTAGATTTTTCCCTAGAGGTTTTGATATAATTTTATGATTCACATCTTAGGTATATGATCCACACTGATTTAATTACTGTATATCTTGTGAGGTATAGAGTTTGATTATGCTAATGTTTTCCAACACTGTGTCAGGAAAGTGCCCTGTCTTGAATTGCCTGTACAGCAAATATGAGTGTGTCTGTTAGTGGACACACAGCCTAAAGACAGAGAAAGAAGTTGCTGGGTAAGATCTAATGCCATACACACATTGTCATATCTACAGTTTTATGAGACATCTTACAGTTACATGGCATAAGTTTTTAAATCGTGTTCTGTTTCAAAATGATCTTGGCTATACTAGGTCTTTGACAGTTGGTTTGATTCCTGTTGTTTCAGGGACAGAGCTATAAAACAGCATGTAGAAAGCTAAAGATAATTTAAAACTTATCTGCAGCAACTTAGAAACATTTTGTGATATGACTTCAGAGAATGAGCTCTAGGCATTGGATTTCATTAGATTGATCAGGAACTGTCGCCTATACATTGCATGGATTGCCCGTTTTCAAAAATAGGAAAATATAATATCTACTAGAATTGTGTCAGATATGATTACAACTTTGAACCCCAGAGGTACCTTCATTATCATGAGCATCAATTGTCATTGTCTAGCAGAGTGGAGAATTATTGCTTAAATTACATTGTCTAGCAAAGTGAGGAATTATTACTGGCAAGGTGAAGAATTGGTGGGACTTATTTGGTTATGTTGCTGCCAACCACAGTATCTGTTTTTGATTTGGATGATACCTTTCTATAAAGAGTTTTATGTGGCAGTGATACTCTTGTATCCCTATTTAATTTGCTGGAGAAAGAGAGAAAAAGTTCTAATTAGGCCAGTTGAGTCTTGGCAATATTAGCCATCACTGCCAGTAGGTGATCAAGGGAAACACTTGCCAGGTTCAGGCTTGGAGTTGGTGATTTGTAAAATGAGTGGTTTGGATGAGTGACCCTTTACTGGCCCATTCTGCTCCAAGATTTTTTTTTAACTTAGTAAAGGCACTCTAAAATATTCAAAGTCACAACCTCCCCTTCAAAGAAAACCAGAGAAAAGGTTTCAAATGCTTTTATTTCTTTATATGAAATAGATATAAGCTGTCCCCTGCATATATTCATATACTTCCAACCCTCTCCTCTTAATTTTCCAGATGACATACTTTCAATTCACTTTATATTCATAAGCATAAATCTCCCCTAAAAAAAGACTCCAACAATTAATATATTCCCCCAGGAATATAGAAAAATTTATTAAAAGTGAAATGTCAAGATTTAGATCATACACATTACATTTTTTGGTATTCTGTATCTTAATTACCACAAGTCATAAGATATATTTGTCTTTTGGGTACTGGATTATTTCACTACAGTGCTGTAATGTGTCAAAGAAGGGAACTTTGTAGTCAGGAAGCAGTGGCCTGTTGATGGTTCATAGTTTGCTACACACACCTGCTGGACTCTGTTTTTAACTGTGGCAAGTGCTGAGTGAATACAATGCAGCAACATTTCATGTTCCATGAGACCCCAGGAAAAGAATGGTTTCAAAGCTCAGGCAATTCTGCAGTTTAGAGTTTTCCTAAGCTAGAAGATCTGGTGATTATGTATCATCATATTAAGAGCTGCTTAATCTCAGAACCCTTGATATTTATTAAGTAATATGATATTGACATCCAAAGAACTTCAAATATCTTGTTCATCATCCCCATTGTCAAGGTCCTCTAGAGCTGCTCTGGTCAGGTTTATATGATCATTGTTATATTAACCAAACAGAATGAGAAGCCAAAGAGGATGAACTTGACAAAGAAATTCAGAAAGTAATTGTGAATTTAAACTAATATAGTGGAATACTTACTGTGTTCCAGTGCTATGCTAAGCCCTTCTCATGCACTGCATTCTGTAATTCTCATATTCAGCTTGAACAGCAGGTGCTATTGGCTCCTTCATAGAAGTGAGCAGCTGATAGTACACTCCTTGTCCAAGCTGACAGTGTTACATGCAGAGCTGGTCTTCCATCTATGCCTTTTTGATTCTAGAGCTACAACTCTTCCATGACTGCATCAAAGGCTCTCTTTCATAAGTTAGAGAGTACTTAGAGAGTAATTGAATTGGTGGTGTGAACTGAAATGATCTAAACCAGAATAACAAGTATGGGGGGGTTTCTTTAGAGTAAACTGAACTCAAGAAAAAATTCGCAGATGTTTCAAAATTTAAAGCAATTTCTTCAACATCAGGTAGCTGCACTGGCCTATGGATAAAGTTGAGTTTGTGCTGAGAACATTATTTTTTGAGACCACAAATATACAAAAGAACAAATTAAGTGTTTGGGGAAGCAACCTTCAGGTTTATTCTTCATTCCAGAATACTAACCAGAAATAAATGTGGGGTCCTAGGATGAAGATCCAAGATTTTGTACAGTAGGAACTGGAGATAACTCTCAGTTCTCAAGCAGGGAAAGGAAAATACTTAAAATTGTATTTGATTTTTACAGTTTATTCTACAGCTCACACTGGCTAAATGTGAGCTTGAAAGGCTTTAGGGAAGGTCAGGACAAAGTTTCTTAGCAAAACAGATTTGACTGTTTTCAGGAATATAACTGACTTCACCTCAGCCCAATGGTTATAACAATGTAATGACAAGGGTGTCAACATCCCATCTGAGTTCCTGGGTTCAAATCCTAGTCCACTGCAGGCTCTCACTTCCTACTAGTGTGAACCTAAAAGGCAGCAGATAGTTCATGGACTTGAACCCTACCACCCAAGTGGACGACCTTGTTGGAGCTCCCAGCTTTGATCTGGCACAACCCCAGCTGTTCTGGTCTTTTAGGGAGTGAACCAGTAAACAGGCAATCTTTATCTGTCTTTCTCTCCCTCCCCCTCCCCAAATGTTTCTAAATAGTACACAGTACAGGAGTGAAATGTCAGTGTATTCAGGCCCCTAAATTAAGTTTAGGATGCAGACTTCAAACACTTTTTAGAATTAAAGGTGACCACTATTAAACCAACAGCACAGTCTGTTGTGGCCTGTAATCGCTCACATTGTACCTCATACTTACAAGGGACACATAAGGTGTAAAGTTAGGGTTAGGATTGTGCAAATGGAAATCACTGAACAATATGTCTCAGATTGTGAGTGGAAGTCCACCCTCGGATAGCAAATGCTACTTGTGAGGACTAGTATATTGATAAATTGTGGATGATGTGCTTCCACTCAATGTACATCACCTTTTCAAAACCATTGCTTTTTCTTTCTCTCTCTTTCTCTCTCTCTCTACAGTTCCAGAGACCTAATGACTTTTCACCTCCTTTCCGCTTTGGGACAGTGCCTAATGGCAGCACAGAGAGGAATATTCGCAACAACTATGCAGAAATGCACGCCTATATGGGAAAGTTCAACCAGAGAGGGGTGGATGATGCCTTGCTCTCCCTGAAAACAGGGTAAGAACTGATTACTCTTGGGGCCCTTGACACTTATTACATGAATATTGAATGTGTTGGGCTAAGATACCATGCTTGATGCCACAAAATGTTAAAGAAGACAATGAGTGAAAATGTTTGTTCTGGTATCTTAATGAACAAGAGAAATTTTGAAAATTCAATTGTAAATGTTAGACAGGGGAGTTTGTTGGCTGACCGCCAATCCCAGTTTCTGTGGCATTCGTAGTGACCCAGCTGTGTGCTCTAGGGAGGATTTGTTCATTAAAAAGATTTCATAAACCCCGCAGATGGAAGATCTCTGCAACTCTGCTTTTCAAATAAACAAATACATATACTAAAAGGAAGAAAAGGAGTTCATGAATGAAGAAGGTATGGGCTTGGATAGTCCCAGCCATACCTGTCTCTTTGTTCATTTGTTTTCTGCAGCTCTGACTCTTGGCAGCCTGGCGGTGGAGCATTATAGATTTGGGGACCAGGGGGTCCTGTAGCTGATTTCTTTTATTTTTTTGATAACAGGCAGCATTTGGCCTTCTTTCCACATCCCTGTTGCTACAGGTTTGGAAGAGCCACATGGATACATGGTTGCTTGAAATACTTTTGAATTCTTATCTGACCGCCAAAAAATCAAATCAACACAAATTTTAGAAGATGGGATTCCAGCTAGGAATAAGACTAATTTAAGTAGCCTGGCCAAGTTCTTACCATATGAGAACTTTGGTTTTGTGCTGTCCCACCTTTCTATAGCATAACCTTTTATAAAACACCATGTGTTACTATACCTTAGGGGCAATTTCTTCTCAATGAGGGACAAAGTTACATAGCTTGCAAAATGGATTAAGCAGTTTCATCTGAATTGCATCCTCCATTATGGGTGTGTTTATATGTTTTAAGTGTTAACTCATACCTTCTACTATGAGTCCTCATTCCTTCATTGCCAAGCACAATGCACAAGAATGAGGTTCTTACATGCTCAGAAATCTTAGAGACCTGATTTCTAATATTATTCACATTGGCTGTTGCAGAAGCCTGTGTTCCCACCACACCAAATGCTCACCTCCACCCAGTACTACACAAAAAATATTGGCACCTTTCTGACCACAAAAATAACATTGCACATCTATTGGAACGCACACACCTACACTTATCCTCACTCTTGGCCTGTAATGGACTGAGAAATGAAAAATGTTATATAAGTCCTGCCCATGCTATTTGTAATCACTGCAGTGCTTACTTTTCATTATTTCTGTTATTATTTTTATTGATTCCTTTTTACTCCTTCTCCTTTTCAGACTCAGCTTATGAGTTGGCTTCAAGCCCAACTTACCTTCCCAGTGGGAGGGAAAGAGCTCCTCCTTTGAACCTGAAATCACAGAACATGCAGCCTGGGATTTGGGCTTTAGATTCTGGCAGAATTCCAACTTGTGCCTTTGAAGATTCTCAGCATACTTTGCTGGAATCCTGTTGCTTCCCATTTTGGTCCCATGTGTGCTTTTGTTGTAGAAGCCCTTCACTAGATCCTGTTTACCTGTTTTATATAGGAAACTGGATGCCTTCATCTATGATGCAGCAGTGCTGAACTACATGGCAGGCAGAGATGAAGGCTGTAAGCTCGTGACCATTGGAAGTGGGAAGGTCTTTGCTTCAACCGGGTATGGCATTGCCATCCAGAAAGATTCTGGATGGAAGCGCCAAGTGGACCTTGCGATCCTGCAGCTCTTTGGAGATGGTGAGTTAAAGAAAAGAGAAGTGCTTATTTGGTCTCCACTGATGGCCAGTGCAGAACACCAACCTTTCTTCCCTTTGTTTGGCTAATTCAAGCATTGCAAAAAAGTGTTTCACAGCCTGAGATTTTGAGGTGTTGTATTAGTTAGCTTCTCGTTGTTATAAAGAAATACACTTAATCTTATTAAAGAGAGTGGGTATTTGGCTTATAGTTCTAAAGATACACAGTCCAAGACGGGATGGGCTATATTAGGTCACCTCCTCCTGGCTGTGTCCGAAGGTAGCTTAGAATCTTACATAGCAAAAGAAGAGCTGTATGTAAATTTGTCCATCTGTCTGTCAATCTATGGTTCTTCTCCTTGGAAACCATCACGGTTTAAGCATGGGGATTTCACTCTAATGACCCAACCTAATGTTGCTCAAATTACTAAGGCTTTACTCCTAAAAAGAACTATATTCCCATCCTCTTTGTGTTACTAAGTTATGACAGTGGTTGGGAGCCAAATCATTTTCATCTATAGCAGATGTATTTTAGTCTCCTATGGCAGCTGCAAGGAAGTACCACAGACTGAATGAACTAAACCACAGAAGTTTATCAGCTCACGTTGCTGGAGGCTGGAAGTCTGAAATGCAATGTCAGTAGAGCTGGTGCTTCTGTGGCCCTGTGGGAGAATGTGGATTTTTTTCTCCACCCCCTTCTTTGGCACTTGACATTCCTGAGCTTGTTTGTAGAAGCATCACCCTGATTTCTTTGTTTGCATGGCATTTTGCCTGTGTGTGTTTTCCCTTTTTACCAGGATATTTCAGAAAGTTTGTGGAAAACCAGAATTAAAACCTAAGTGTATTTCATGGCAAAAAAAGGAGAAATGTGTAGAGTTTCTTTCATAACTATTTTCCTACAAACTTTTTGAAGGACCTTTCTAAATGTGTATATCTAAGCACCCCTTTCTTCCTAGGAATTCTAGTTATATCATCTTGGGAGCCCACCTCATCCGGAATGTCCTCACTTAGCAATCATTTTGGTGACAACCCATTCAAATAAAGTCACATAATAAAGCACTGAAGGTTAGGATTGTACATAAACATTTTGGGATGATGCAACTCAACTGTAACAGGGTTATGGGCATAGGATGGGGAGAGGGTGAAAGTAACCAGCCAGAACGTATGCTTCAGGATTGCAGAGTATAGTTAACCTATTGGGATAGAGTTGGCTGCTGTCATATGCTCCAACCAGTCATTTTATATGTGGCCAAAACAAAGCAGAAGAAACTTTAAGAGACCAATGAAAAGGGCAGGAAAGTCACCTGGTAGGCATTTATCTCTAGCCATCTCCTGACCAACTATTTGAACTGAAACAAGTAGGGTACAGGACTAAAGTCCTCAGACATAATGTGAGAAAGTTGATAACACATGAATCAAATTGTGAAAACATACTTCCAGTTTTTAAACAAGCTTGGACTAGTCAGAACTGACAATTTTCTTCCAGAGATATTTCTTCCCCCCCCCCAAATTTGCTTCTCTGAGAGGAGATGCATTCTAGAACACAGAGCTTCATTCATCTAGAGTCTCGACCTTTATAATTGAAGGTACCCAGTAAAGCACTTAAGGTCTTTGAGACCCAGTGTGTACTTACATAAAATTAAAAGGTGGCAGCAGACTCAGACCTCCTTCACTTTACTCATGCGTACTCTTCTACAAGAGATCAGATAGCAGAGGGCCCTAGGGAAATAGTCTTTCTCTCTTTGCCAATCTGTTTTTCCTTTCCCTGATCAATTGGCTTTACAGAAGCTTAAGAGCAGTTTTATGATTCATTTGTTTGTTATACCTCTACTGTCTATAAAAATAAAAATCTGATTCTCAGATACTCATGTGTCCTTCTGTTCAGCTTCTTTTGACTAACGTTGCTCTGTTTGAACAGTTGTTATATGCATGCCCTTCCACAGACTGTCCTTGTAGTTTCCCACCTCCCTGCTGGGGATCATGTTTGAGCTGTTACCTCGAGTGTCTTTGTGTATGATATAGATTGAAATTCACTCATCTATCATTCCCACCTTCACATTTTAGCTCCTTAGTGAAAAATCACCAGCCACTTCATCCATAAAAAGACTCAGTCATCTGTATCTCTTGTTACCTGAATAGCCAATAGCTTGTCATATTGATCATTTATATACTAATAATAATATACTGGATGGAGAACAGCAGCAATGTCTATATCCCATGTGACATTTTCATTGACTACTACTGAATACCTTGATGAGTCTGTTCATAATAATATTAATAAATCACTGTTAACACTATTCATTTTCTGTCTCCTTGTCTTGTTTACTCTTTTTTTCTCTTTTCCAACACCCTTCTCTCCCCCTTTCCTGTCGCTATCTGTTCTCCTTCTCTATACTCTCTCCAGGAGAGATGGAGGAACTGGAAGCTCTCTGGCTTACTGGCATTTGCCACAATGAAAAGAATGAAGTTATGAGCAGCCAGCTGGACATCGACAACATGGCAGGGGTGTTCTACATGTTGGGGGCAGCCATGGCTCTCAGCCTTATCACCTTCATCTGCGAACACCTTTTCTATTGGCAGTTCAGGCATTGCTTTATGGGTGTCTGCTCTGGCAAGCCTGGCATGGTCTTCTCCATCAGCAGAGTAAGTGCTTTGATTTAGATACCTGGAGCTCATTTGAGACAGCTTAACCTAGCACTGTGCAACGCAGAATGCCACATGAAACAAACTCCCCTCAGGAGTTTGGGTGAGAAAGTTTCAAGTTGCTTTAACAAAGTGGATGCTATTATATTTTCTCGAACAGACCAACAGTTTTTTTTGTGGGAATTGGGCTTTTGGTTCTCAACAAGAACTGGCAGATCTATCAAAATGAAAAATTTGGCTTTTTACCAAATGCCTTTCATCACCATTAGTTGAGTTTTTATAGACTGCATTAATCATGTAATCCTTTAAAAGAATTACTTTTACATTGAATGAAATGTAACATTTCTTTTGCAATATGCACAGGCATATTAGTAGTTTAAGTGTTCCACTCTATATTTTAACCATGTGTTGGATAGGACGAGTTAAGAACTTAACATAACCTTCTTAAACCAGTCCTGACTCGTAAGAACTTTATATTCCAGAAACTTCCTTAATGGAACAAGAATATAACTGTTCTTTTATAGTCCAAAGTTAGTCATAAGAACATAGTTTTTGTTTGTGAGAAGGGTCACAGGGAACAATTTCTTTTTAATAGCCTCACCTGATTTTATTTGTAGAGTTATAACAGTTATTCATGGATGGTGACCTTGAATGTCATTTTAGTATTGAGGTCCATGTTCCACCTATGAACAACTTAGACTGAAGTAGCATTACAAAGAACATGGATTTTTCATTAACTTACTGACCAATTTCCTGCTGTATTTTACCCAGAACAGTTTATCCCTGGATATGAATTAATGTATATCCTTAAGTCACATCAAAACAGGAAAACAGAACTTGAGGTGGTTACAGTCCCTGAACCACGTTGTTGTACTGTGAGGTACTTTGCCCTGATCCCACACAGGATGATGATAGAATGAGAGCTAGTAAAGCATCGTGGACATCCCATTCCAAAGTCTTCAACATAACCCATGCCACTATAAAAGGGAAACACTTGGTGTTTCCCAAAACACAGTTAAAGAAAAGTGTGCGAAGATAGATTAACCTTGCATTGCAGATCTTAGTTCACTCGTCCAACCCTTTCTCCTTCTAACTTCCTTCCCTCCCTTGGGACCATTTTTCTTCCCAACTTAATTGCCCCAATGACAAAAAACACAATTCAACACACTCCTCTTCAAGTCCCTTGACTTGCCAGGGAGAAATGTTCTGAGTCTGTCCTGTCCACCTTGCAAAGCAGGACGGGAGCAGTAGGTTGCCTTTAGAAGTAAGTGTAGCACGGCCCTCTAGGAGCCCCATCCATCCCTTTCCTGGGTTCATGCAAGCCCTCTAGGGAGCTATATACGGGGAGTCCTTGATCAATACTAATTTGTTAAGGCATTAATTATGTATGATAGTATCATATGAGAGAAAAAGCAGAAGGACAACAGGAGATCAAGAGAATGAGATAATTCAACAAGGGACTTATTTATTCCTATTTAGCACTCGTTATCTGTCCCAATTCTTCCCTCCCACAGTGTAGGGCACAGCAGGAGAGAAATACTTCCTTGCCTACAAGGCTGCTTCATCATCTCACTCTGAATTTGGCTCAAGAAGGGACGTGACCAGCTGTTATTGGGTGGCCACAATTCTGCAAGCTGCTCAGAATTTGTCAGTGATGAAAATACCAGTTTTGAGCTCTGGAGCTTCCTGGTGCTGGCCGCCAGTGGCCACAGTCAGGGCAGAAAGGTGGCCACACCTGTGAGATGTTGCCATTCATTTTGCTATGGTTTGCTATCATGGCCTCACTTTAAAGATGCAAAAGTGGAAGACTAAAAAGCAAAACCAAGGTAAGCAAGTGAGGTAGAGGCAAGAATGCCTGATCTTGTCATTCCAGTCTGTCTCCCTCAATCTCAAGGTGTGGCCATATAAAACTTGATACCATCCATGGGATGCATCAAGCAAGCTTCTAGGCACATCAGTCTATGCAAGTGTTTGAGAATATCTTTTTCCCTGACCTGTCCTTAACCAGTTCAGCATTTAGCTGTGGGCAGGGGCTCTGCATAGCCATGTGGAGACCTCACCTGTCCCCTCCTATCTTGCTCCAGGGTATCTACAGCTGCATCCACGGAGTGGCCATTGAGGAGCGCCAGTCTGTGATGAATTCCCCCACAGCCACCATGAACAACACGCACTCCAACATCTTGCGCCTGCTCCGCACGGCCAAGAACATGGCAAACCTGTCTGGTGTGAATGGTTCACCGCAGAGCGCCCTGGATTTTATACGCCGCGAGTCATCTGTCTATGACATCTCTGAGCACCGACGCAGCTTCACGCACTCCGACTGCAAGTCCTATAACAACCCACCCTGCGAGGAGAACCTGTTCAGCGACTACATCAGCGAGGTGGAGAGAACGTTCGGCAACCTGCAGTTGAAAGACAGCAACGTGTACCAAGATCACTACCACCATCACCACCGACCACATAGCATCGGCAGCGCCAGCTCCATCGACGGGCTCTACGACTGTGACAACCCACCCTTCACTACCCAGCCCCGGTCCATCAGCAAGAAGCCCCTGGACATCGGCCTGCCGTCCTCGAAACACAGCCAGCTCAGTGACCTATATGGAAAATTTTCCTTCAAGAGCGACCGCTACAGTGGCCACGACGACCTGATCCGCTCTGACGTCTCAGACATCTCCACGCACACCGTCACCTACGGCAACATTGAGGGCAACGCAGCCAAGAGGCGGAAGCAGCAATACAAGGACAGCCTCAAGAAGCGACCGGCCTCCGCCAAGTCCCGGCGGGAGTTCGACGAGATCGAACTTGCTTACCGCCGCAGGCCGCCCCGCTCCCCTGACCACAAACGCTACTTCAGGGACAAGGAAGGGCTACGGGACTTCTACCTGGACCAGTTCCGCACCAAGGAGAACTCGCCTCACTGGGAGCACGTGGACCTGACCGATATCTACAAGGAGCGCAGTGATGACTTCAAACGTGACTCCATCAGCGGAGGAGGGTCCTGCACCAACAGGTCGCACCTCAAGCACGGGCAGGGCGACAAACACGGTGGGGTCGGTGGGGTGCCGGCCCCCTGGGAGAAGAACCTGACCAACGTCGACTGGGAGGACCGGTCTGGGGGCAACTTCTGCCGGAGCTGCCCCTCCAAGTTGCACAACTACTCCACGACGGTGGCAGGTCAGAACTCAGGCAGGCAAGCGTGCATCCGCTGTGAGGCTTGCAAGAAAGCAGGCAACCTGTATGACATCAGCGAGGACAACTCCCTGCAGGAGCTGGACCAGCCGGCAGCCCCCGTGGCGGTGCCCTCCAATGCCTCCTCCACCAAGTACCCCCAGAGCCCGACCAATTCCAAGGCTCAGAAGAAGAACCGGAACAAACTGCGCCGGCAGCACTCCTACGACACCTTCGTGGATCTGCAGAAGGAAGAAGCCGCCCTGGCCCCACGCAGCGTGAGCCTGAAAGACAAGGGCCGATTCCTCGATGGGAGCCCCTATGCCCACATGTTCGAGATGCCAGCCGGTGACAGCACCTTTGCCAACAACAAGTCCTCAGTGCCCACCGCCGGACACCATCACCACAGCAACAACCCCAGCGGCGGCTACATGCTCAGCAAGTCACTCTACCCTGATCGGGTCACACAAAACCCTTTCATCCCCACTTTTGGGGACGACCAGTGCTTGCTCCATGGCAGTAAATCCTACTTCTTCAGGCAGCCCACGGGGGCGGGGGCATCGAAAGCCAGGCCGGACTTCCGGGCCCTCGTCACCAACAAGCCAGTGGTCTCAGCCCTCCACGGGGCTGTGCCGGGCCGTTTCCAGAAGGACATCTGTATAGGGAACCAGTCCAACCCCTGTGTGCCTAACAACAAAAACCCCAGGGCTTTCAATGGCTCCAGCAATGGGCACGTTTATGAGAAACTTTCTAGTATTGAGTCTGATGTCTGAATGGGGGAAGAGAGAGCTGAAGGTGGGTCCGGGAGGGGGAGGGCCGGGGGTTGAGTGGTGCGCACCTCACGGAGGGGGATGGGGGTGAACTTGGTTCCCATTTGCTCCTTTTGTGCTGTTTTCATTCATTCATGGGATCCTGGAGTTCTGGTTCCTACTGAGGGCAACCCTGGTGACCAGCACCATTGCTCTTGCCATTCTCCGTTTTCCCCTTCCACCATCTGTCAGCAGTGCCCGTTCGCAGGAGAGGATGAAGTGGGAGGGCGGCCAGGAGAAAGGAAGGACCGTCCACAAGCTTCCTCCTAGCGCGGAAGGACTCTGCCATCATCCCACTTCGAGTGACACTAGGAGAAGAGAGGAGGCGCGTGAACTCTGGCATAGCCTTTCCCACAGGAATCTTTTCGTTTAGGTGAGGAAGCAGAAACATCTAAGTAAGACTGTTTAGCAAACTGCTTGGCCATGAAAGAGGCTGTTGCTAAATTCTAGTTGCATGGGTAACATCAGCCTAGGGACAGAGGGTGGAAGGCCATGTGTGTTTCTATATAAGCCAAAACAGCGTTTGCTTCAACTCCGTGAGACTCACTGGTCATGAACTGCAAAGAAAGATCATTAGGTGGATGAGAGTACAACAGCAGCTCATTCTGTAGTACATTGAGAGCAAGACTGTGGACTGCATGTGCCTGTTCATGGGCGGCTGCACACCGTTGCAGTCAGGTACTCCCACATGGAGGGAAGGCAGCCTTGACTCACCTGCTGTGAGCTCAGCAATGTGCTTGGTTTGGCTTATATGCAAGCAGAGATGGTCCTAAGATACCTGAGATTTGTCTTTTTCTACCCTTCCAACCTTCCAGAATGAGGAGAATGGAGACGACTCTGTGGTCCAGACTAAAAAGGTGGTGAGACAATCCTACATTGGTTCCCCAGTGACTGCCAACAATTTCAGCCAGTCTGGATCAAGAACTTTCCAGAAGGCTAAGTGGGGATAGAGGCAGCCATGACTCTTTTGCCCACACTTGAAAGCAAAAGATGCCATAAGCTGTCTTAAGTTTCTAAACTCTCAACTGGTCAAGGCTTGGGGAGGAGTTTAGCAAGACTTTGAAAAGGAAGGGAGTCATCCATGGCAGGGTAAGTGAGAGAGGGGGATGTTTTCAATGCTTTGATCCCTTCTTACTTAACCTGGAGCTAGAAGAACAGTCTTGTTCCTTCAGAACCGATTACAATCAGTATGGAACAGACAGTTCGGAGAAATGAGCCCGCCTCCACGCAGACAGCTCAGGATACAAGGGATGGGATTGACGAGGGGGGAGGAAGAGTGAAGGGGCTGTGCAATTGCACCTGACCTTTCAGGAATGTCACTGAATCCAGTGTGAACATTCTTGGTGGAAGCCCCTCTGCCTTCCAGCAGTACCTCCTTTCCATTTCAGATTGTGCCATTCAGGAATAAAAAGAAATAGGTGTGAAACTCCAAGGAAGATATGATGCATTTTTCTCCCCCCCACTTATCCTTTGGCTCAAAGTTGGAGAGTTGAGACAGGAAATGAATACTTGTCACTGCTGGGCAGGTGTGCGTTAGGGGCCCAGCCATCCTTCCCTTACGTAGGGTGACATCTAAAGAGCCCAAGTCAGTATGGATGCTAGACTGCAGGGTTGCCATGTTACAGACAGGACACAATACCCAGAAAGGTGCTCATCCTCCTCTGATGGAAGCTGCCATGTCTCCTCCAGTCAGCCCTCCTCAGCTGCTCTTGGCTTTCTGGTTTGCCCTGCCCTACCTTCCCTCCTCACCCTCACCCTCCACACCTTGATGTTTACCTCAGTCTCTTTCATTTTCCAGCCAATTGAAGGCCTTGCAAAGGTTTGTTTTCTTTCTAAAATGATCATGGGGACAAGGGGCTGAACCGCTCCCAGATTTGGGAGAGAAACACAGAGTGCTTTACTGAGGTTCAAAAGGGAAGACTTGGGAAGAGAGGACCGAGGGCGTGTGGCCGCTCCAGGAGGAAGGAGATGAAGGGCTGCCCAGCACTGCTTCTCCCGGGCCAGGGCCTCATTCCTTCACTCCTCCTCTTACCTCATCCCTCTCGAGTCAAATAACCAAACCAACTAACCTAGCGAACAGCAATCTAGAACAACCGGGGGCTCTGTCAGGCTCCGCAGCAACAGGAGTGAAGATGGTGTTAATTTCATATGTAAATATTTTGTTTTCTAATTAATTTTGTACAGATAAAGTGTTCTCTTGTCAGTATTCAGGGTGTTGGGCTGGAGGGGGTGGGATAGGGTGGGGAGCAAAGGGGAAGACAAGGTTTTCCTTTTCCATTAGGAAAAGTGTTTCGTGTTGCTTTGGCTTCCAGGTGTCTAGGAGATGTGAATGTGAACAGAAGCAGTGGTGCTGGAAGAACCAGGGGAAGCATTTCGGGTCTGTGCCCCTTCCCTGCACCTGGTTCCTCCAAGCCAGACTTCATGTTGGTCTGTGTGGGAAATGCTCACGTGTTTTAGCCTGGGCTTTGCACAGGCTCTAAGCAAACCTCGGGTTTAACTCTGAGCTTCCAGGTCGACCGTGGCTTCCTGGCACTCCATACTAAATGAGCTGGTGGCTGCCTCATATTCCTTTCAGTAGCAACAGTAGTCAAGAGTTTTAAAAAGGGCTTAAAGTGGGATTGAGGTCCAGTTAGCCTCCCATCCCTGGGATAGCTTGGAGGTTTCAGGACATGCAACCTCTTCTGACATCTGACCACCATCTCGTTCAGTCTGACCTTCTTCCTCATACCTGTACCTGGCCCCTCTTGGCAGGCCACTCATTCCCTCTCCTTAAGATTCAGCACTGCAGGCATACCCATACTACCTTGACTCTCTGAAGTATGTGACATCTGGAGAGGAGAAGAGTTTGGAGCTCATCAATTGACATACTTTACCAGGAAAGATGACCAGAGTCCATCTGCTCAAAATTCAGTGGCTAGATGGCTCTCTGAGACACATTGCTGATGCTCACAGTAGAGGTAGAAAGGCAGGGTCTAAGGGAGATGGTGCCGATGGGAGTTTTCTACTTGCCTTGTCCTCATTACTGCCATCAGGAAGGTGCTATTTGCCTTGAGCTAGGTATCCATAACCTGAACCCTGGGTTAAACAAATAGAATTTCTTTCACTAGACTGTTGGTTTTGTCAATGATGGTAGCCTCTCTCTTTACCATAGGATGAAATCTGCAAATCCATTTTTCCCAGCATACTATATGATTTGTTCCCCTATCCTCCCCATTATCAGAAACTGTCAGGCAGATCATTTCATTTTTCTAAACCCCTTATTTGGCACCAACTGGTCACTTTCCTCTAACTAGATGCTTAAATTGAGACCAAGTGAGCCATTCATGAACTTCTCAAGAAAGCCTAAAGGACGGGTGAGCGCTGACCATTTCTAGATGCTACTTAATTATCAAATAAACCAGTTAAAGATGAGGCTTACTGAATTCCTCCCTTATGTATTTATCACAGATGGGTGTGGCTGAAAGCCCAATTTATGCAAAATAGTGAGATTCTGCAGATCCAACTTTCTTCAGAATCCATATTTTCTATATTGTACCTTCTATCTTCCCCTTGCAAGGTGGAAAAGGGTTGCTGGCTGTGGTCCTACAACACTCCCGTTGGTGGCCATGCTGAAATCTCACATTTCCACTCATCTTAATAATCTGACCCTTAAATCTGCCTGAATCGAGAATGTGCACACCCTGCAGAGTGATGCATGTATAGTGGATCTTGTTAATTTACAAAGTTGTCACTGTGTACCCTCAGCCAGAACTTGGGGAATCTCCTTTACTCTCTGCTCCCCTGTGCTGGCCACAGCCATGTAAGTGATTGGGGAAAAAAAATCCCAAATGATTTCATTAAATGTTGGTGGTGTCAGTTCGTGCCAAAACGCATGTGTAATGTGATAAACTAGGAGTTGTCTATACAGTTAGGTGACTATCACCCGCCCAGTCTTCCATGGCCATCCAGGTCGCCCAACAGAGAATTGTCTGCAGAGTGCTGGTCACCTGCACATCTCACTTAAGAATGGGGGTTTCTTTGTTTTTGCTTTTGGCTTGTTTTTATTTGGTCCAAGTTTCAAGGATGGAGTAACTAGATTGTTTGGATTGCCTCTGGAAAAGCTATTCCAGAATTCACTTTTTTTTTTTTTTCTAAATCACCCTCTCCCTAAATTGAATAAAACAATGAAAACCCTGTCAACACTTGACACCCTGTGCATGTCTGTCTTGATGTATTAGGAATGCTCTAGATGTATGCATAAATGATGTCACTGCAGTGCTGTTGATTGGCCATACTGTATGTGCTGTCCGAGCCCAAAGCCATATAGTAAATGTGCTCAGGGTAGAGCCACTGATTGCTTCACCGGGGTGTCAGAAACTCTTCTTCCTGTCTTAAGTCACTCATTCTGGGGGAGAAGCAGTTAATGGAGGACAGTCACACTGCAGTGGTCTGGCCGTATAAATGGTCCATGATATGATTCTGAGGTCTTGAAAAAGACCTCTCTTTTTCCAATGACTGGCTTCCCACACAGATTGATTGCTTCAGCAGCAAGCTATTCACCTGTCATTTAAATGAAAGTAGTCCCAGGAAGGATGATGTATTAAGCCATATTAAGAATTTATACATTTAGACACCTAATTTACATTAGGACTCTCATTCCTTCTGGGAATCAGTTACGATACAAGAGAAGAGAAACAGAGCAGGGGACACTGACAGGGAGCAAGGATGCAGATCCTAGAGGGTAAAGCCATTTGAACTGTAGTTCACCTCCCACCTGCTTTTATTTAAGGCTCACGTGACACTGAAGTACAACTGCTGTCTGGGAACTATATTCAGCTAAGTGTATAGTTTAAGAATTGCTAAAATCACTATCATAGAGCGGGTTGAGGGCTGAAACTCTACCTATGGCAAGTTGAACACTGAAGTTTCTCCTCCACTGCACGTTAATGAGTAGAAAGCTAAAATCATTGAATTAATAATAAAAAGTTGCTGTGATTCTGTTCCAGTTCAATTATTAATTCCACTTAGCTTAGTTCTATACTATTTCTCTTCCTCCATTCAAGGTGTCCAGTTATTCCAACACATGTTAACTGCTTAGGAGCCAGTTGACTACCAGGTGCTACTTAACTTGTGGAACAATTCTTTTTTTGGTCTATCCTATGCTGGGGGTGGCACTGAAATGCAGACTGGTCAATCTGAGAACTTATTATTTTGATTTAGATTCAGGATTTTTTCTAGTGTGGGAGTTCCAGGAGTGTATATATATTATACACTCAAGTATAATATACATACACTCAAGTTCATCTGTAAACATCTTTCATGCCATTGCAGCCACACTGACTTAATCATGTAGAGGTCCTAGGAGTTGGAAGAATTAGACAACCTCTCTACTCCCCTACCACAAACCTTAAATGGAAGCCAATGTTGTTTCTGTGCCTTGGGGAAACTGGTCAAGTAGAGGACCTGTGATTTATAATGTTGAAGCTAAGAAAAAGAATATTGTTCACAGAGTAATGGGTTATCATAGCCCATTACTTGGAAGAAGTGAGAAAAGTTAGACATTCTACACATTTCCCTCTGGCATGTCCATTTGCCTCTGCCTCCGGGTTCATCACAGTGAGCTTCTGGCACTATTCCATGCTTTACAGTATAATTACTAGTGTGATTAGGAGGGTGAGGACCCCTGATGAGAACTGAAGGTAGAAAGCAGTGTGGATGAGTGCAGTTCCTCACAGCCTTGAGACTCAGATGTGTCAAATCCATGTTTTGGCAAAGAGAAAAGAAATGAAAATGTAATGTAAGCATTGAGGGTACAATTAAGATGCATACTACTAAATCCATTAGACAACCATTACTTTAAAGATTTAGTTTCCACTCTTTAAGCCTAAATTCTCTTATGTGTAATTATTTTAGTGCTGTAATTTAGGGGTTGGGACAGATTCTACTACTATGAAGGAGATAAAAATAAAAGCTCTGATCAAATGTTGATCAATGGACCTGTGTCTGTGAAACACAAACTACATCCCTGGGCTACAGCTGTGAAGGCTGATTTTCAAATAGACTATATTCTACTCACACAAATATATGAATGTGTCAGTATAACATATTTAAATGTATTATATATGCATAAATAGATATGCCTGGATATGGATGATAACAAATGCAGGTTGAATATGTTCTGACTTCTGGGTCTGAATCAATAAAATACCCTATGATATTTTTTAAAAAACAAAGACACATCACAACCATCCCTGGCCCTATTTCTTTCCCTCTTATGTCATTTGGTCACATTTGCATGCAAGCCCCCCTCTTCCTTAATAACTTCTTCCCTTCACTTAGCTCTCTCTTCTTCCCTCATGTACTAGTGACCCCTGGCCTCTTCAGAAGCACGGGTGCATCTTCCATCTACCCGCT